ACATGAGCTAAATCATCCCTGTGGATAGATTATAGAAGAACTTGTGCTCAAAAGTATTTTAAATAATTTTTACGAATGAACCTGCAAACCAAAGATTGTTTACAATGTAAATTGGTGACAGCTTACTTAGAGAGTCTGATCTTTATATCTGAGAGCCCCATCTGACCTTGAAATGGATGTCTGTCAACGAAAGACAAAATAAAATGTTCACTACAGTTTGTTTTTTTACTTTATATAAGAGTCACGTAGTTTACCCAGCATGTACGTCGTCAATCCCAGCATGCTCTTTTCCACGCCAAACTTGATAGTTCGTGGTTTGTTTCCAGGCCTCTATGAAATGCTCATTGTAGTTTGCCATTCCATCGCCATCTGCAACAATAGCAAAGTATCAGACACTGCGCTGTATTATAACACCAATGAGACGAACGTGAAGCGTACAAACCTGTGTGTTGTATGGAAGACAGCAAAGACAAAAGATACAATTTAAACTGAGCTCGTATCCACTCATCACTGCCATCCCAGCCTGGATAAGAAAACAGAAAATAAACAAACAGATTTCTGATGCCAAGTTCAACAATGCTCTGAAACATCTTATCACTAGACCTACGAATCGGTCCTAATTAAGGTGAAATAGGAAAGCAGGAAAACTTAACATCGTGTAAGCCATGTTTTACATGTATTCTTAGCTTAATTAACAGAGAGACTTTTTTTCGCTATAAAATAAATACTATTCTCAAGGCTGTGAAGTTACTTAAACCGGCAAACTCCTTCCTGTTTCCAGGATCTGAAGAAAGCATGTGGAGCACATAGACATGTTCAACCTATTCGAACAAGACGTACAATGTATCACCCTGAGCGTTGTAATGTACAAAGAATGCACTTTTGAAAGTAGCTGCTGAGGACCCATATGCAAGAAATATAAACTGATAAGGAGTATGAAGTATCTACATGTCTGTTATACCTAAACTTACCGGCTTCTTGTTCGCCTTTTTCAACGTATTCCTTGACGTGATTAATGAGGTAGTCTGCAAATCTCAAGTCAGCGGTTGACAACGAGAGCTGTTCATTTAGTTCAGGACTGTGTATTTCTATTGATCCGCTTTCAAGCTGACGGAAAAAAACAAACCCCGTAAATTTGCAGAATTGTGTAATTTTTATTTTCCTGCGTGGAAAATGTTTTCATTTAACGAAAGACGTTTAGGTGGGAACCAACGGGAGGAAAAGCTAACAATAAAGAAAACAAATTTAAGGAATCTGTAAGAACTGTACGAATTGAATTTTCACTTGATGTAACAGCGATGTTTGATGTATCACCCCTGAGAAGTGGAATAAGAATTAAGTAACCTGTGGCAAGCACAAGCATCTAATTAATAAAACGCGCAGAAAAAATGGAATCACCTGCCAGCACGCGTGCCAGCAAGTTTTGCACCTGACTGGCTGAGAATAAAACAACTTCGCTTTGATTGGTTGAATTGTGCTGAACATTTCTTCCAGTTCAGCACCATTCAAACCCAACAAAATAGATACACTGATCACATATTTGGAACAGCTCTCTAAACAAAGGGGCACAACAGATTGAAATACATCTTTGTATTGTCACCATATTATAAACGTGAGAGTTGCCATATCATAACCTCAGCTCGGCTTTATTTTAAATTTACTCACATCTACCAAAACTTCTGATAATCCCTTCTGTCGTTTGTACAAATAATTTGACGCTCCAACCACGAAACTACGCACATGGGCGCTCTTTAACAGTTCCATTTGTTGCAAAGATAAATAAGGATGAAATAAGGAGCTCTGCAAGGAAAAAAACGGAGTGGACATCTTCCTTTACTGGCATTATTTGTTTGGGATTTGCAATTGGCAAAGTGCGATAGAAAATTAATAGTAATAATAATAATAATAATAATAATGATGATGATGATGATAATGATGATGATGATAGATTTAAATAGTGCCCTTTCTCCATGATTCAAGGGCCGTAATAACTTATTGTATATCCTAAAAAAGCTCGTTTAAAAAGCAACTGTTCACGTTTAAAAAATTTCAATAGAGTCTGCATTCTTGATGTCTTCCATTTAACAGTTGCATCTGTAAAAGCATGTCAGCCAAACAATTTTTTGATTAAAATTTTGTATGGTAAGGAGATTCATTTGGCCAACTTCAAAAAATGTAGAAAGGTAAAACAGGTAACAATAAGTTAAAAATCAAAACTAAGTAAATTAATAAATTTATCATAATTTAAATCAATTGGATAAAATACATTTATGGTACTAGACATTTCATGGAGTCATCAGATTTTACAGTGCCGTGAGCGTAGGAATGGTGCTATATAAATAAAAGTCATTATTAATAAAGACTTCTGCCGAAAGTTATTTCAAGTTTCTAATATTGCAATTTGCAATAAATAATTTAAAAGTGATATGCCCCATCACAAGCAAAATAAAATACCATGCAAATACAATCCATTCTTGGATGAGAAAGTTGTTAATACCATTGGAAGTCCTTTGTCCAATAGAAAAACAATACTGTCAGCAGGAAGGCAAGAAGGTCAAAGAGGCTACATGCCGATAAATAATTACAAATTGCTTGTCTGACTGTTAGCTCTTTCCTTCCTTTCATTGGCTGAGCTATTTTGGATCTCTGAAGATTTCCATTATGAAATTCTGTTTCACTATGTACCAAACATTAAGAGCCAATGGTAGATGTTTACTAAGTAGTACCACATTACTTACAGAAAATAACTCACTTCACTCACGTTTGCGAAGATTGCTAATGGAAATCCAAAAATATCGACTAATAACTGCTCACACTCTCGGACATGCAAAGGTTGAAAAACTTCCTGAAAAACAAGACCTCTCTAAGAATGCAACAAGAACATACAATGTTATTATCCCTCAACCAATTTTAATTAACTTACAAATATAGTCATAAAACAAACATAGCAAACCAAAATTTCAGTGCCATCAAAGAGCAGGCATTGAGGTGTCATACGAATGCAAGCTGTGGGGTGCTTTCCAAATACACCAAAGACTCCAGAAATTCCGGTTAGAAGTCAAATGGAAAGGTCCATTTCGATTCATTCCAACAGGAATATTTGGGGCCACCTCTGATCTGGAGGTGGTCCACTTTGATTGGTTGGACCAATCCGACCGAAATTGGCCGTTCCATTTTGACAAAGCAGTACATTACCCTAATTCTCTTCAGTAGATTTGGCTTATGTAGCCCACTGGTCTCTGACCAGTCAGTCTGGCATAATGGGCCAGCGCTTTTGAATATTTCATGGTATTAGCACTGTATAAATGTATAATTATTATTATAATTATTATAAAGCACCCATGGTCTCTGTGGTATGATCATACAGACCAACAGCCGGTGCATGGAACCATAAGGTAGAATGAAACTTGACTACACCAAAAGATCCAGCCTGCTTACAACCAGACATAATGATATAAAAATTACATTTGCTTAGAACAGTATGACCAAAATACATGCATGCTTACATTATCACAAGTTTCATTTTCTCTGGGGGCTGCATACACCAAACCGTTTTGGATCATTTCTAGAAAATAAAATCAAATGGCAATACATTTGATACAGTCAAGAGTTCAAAATCTCCAAGAACTATAAGATAGCAATCACAGCCAGCACAAATAGCAATAGCATGTCTACATTAATAAGGAACAATGCACTCAAACAAATTGCAAAACATCTGGGTAATTAAAGAAATAGCAGATTGCTTGTGCATGAACCAGGGTTTTTATACATCCACCAAACATGGTGCAGCCTAACCATGATGATCTTCATCAAAGACAGAAACAAAGTTCTTACACATTTAAAAGAAGTTGATACAGGATGGGAACGCAAAGAGGCAAGGTTATAACCACTTTTTCAATTTTTTTGATATGTTTCACTAACAGCCTCAGTGAATACATAGGATGTCCTTCTTATGCCCAACTTTTGAATAAGAAAACTCTACACAAGAATAGAGGATATTTTATAAAGATTTATGGTATATTAAAACAAGTGACTAGGCTGTTTTAATCCCAAAGTTGTAATTCCTTACATTCCACAATGCGAGAAATGGTAATATATTGTCGATGGGAGGTATTTTTTTTCAAATCAAAATATCATGACTATCATTGTTCCCTTGTCTACTTGGCAAATATATGTACTGATACTGTACAGAAGCAAAAATATAGAAGTTAGCTATCATGTTTCGCATTACAAAAAAAAGATATTACATGTAAATCTTGTTGCATTCTCATGTAACAAAGAGACATATATATGCCATGTTTACATACTTGGAAAGAGAGAAACAAGTGAAAGAAGCTCCATACATAGACTGCCAACCGGAAAGCCATGAAATATAACCTAAGAGTTAAAAAAGTTCACAACCACATGACAATAGATTTTTCCTGCATTCCAAAAAACAATGGCGCCGAGTTGAGGTTCAGGTTGACAAGAATATCCATGGCAAATGTATGAAAATGTCTGCCCCTGCAACCTCACTCTGGTACTAATGTTTGTAAACTCTGATTCAAAAGTGGAATGTGGGAAAACTCTAAAAGATCAACAATCTTACTAATAATAAATTCTACATAATTTTAATTAAAATTTACAGTCTCCAAATGGATAAAAAGCCAGTTAGAGCATAGATTTTTTAATATGTGTATAAATAATTCACTATTTATAATAAACTCATCCATCAGTCTGTGACACAAGCTAAATAAAATAACCTATATTTTTTTTATGAAAATGAAACGTCTGAGTTGTACAAACAGGAGCTGAATCCACCACTAAGCTTTAAGAGATTCAATGCGTCTATCATCCAACATACTGCTAAAATTGTTTTGCCTAAAAAATTTATGCTTTGCATAATTATATTCATTAAAATATTTCTTTAGGCACATATTTCACACATGAACAAACAAGAAATATGGAACAAAATAGGAAATACTCGAAAAACATTTTTCAGCACATACCTTTTTTTCAAGAAGAAGCAGCTTAAAAAGAACTAAAATCTGAAAACAAGGTGATATTAATTTATTTTCAGTTAGGTCAAAAGTGTACAATCAATGAAAGAATATCCTCCAATTACACTGATATCCTCATTTGCACATAACGATGGCACTTAGTGTTAAAAAAGTTTTTGTCACAAGTAAAGCTGAGAATGCATTTGAGTGTACTCACCCTATGTTGAAATTTTCTGACTAATTCTACAACTGATAGACCTATAAGGAAATCACACCAAATACAGTTTTTGATAAAATAATAAAATCTGCAAGGTTTCATAATTTGACAGAGTGAAAGGTACAAACTTACCGACAAATAGTAAAGAATCTTCCAGTTCAAAATTCGGTGATATGGACAAGTTTAAATTCTTATACAATTCCTGGAGAGGAGCACACAAAAAATAAAGAATGAGGGGAAAAAAGCTCACACAGAATTCTGCTTGGAGACAATATATATTACTGTACTAAATTTAAACCTCTAAAATTCCTGTTCTTGAGAAGTCCCTCTCATCAAAGTACACTCTGGTAGCAACTTCCAGCTTTTCTTTCAAGTAACCATAAAGGGGCTGTTAAAACAAGAAAAAAAGTTCATTCATAACACAAAGTTATCAGCCCAGAAGGCTACAGCTTAAAATTATGTGGCTTTTTGATCAGATTCTTATCAAATGATGATAACTCTGCATCACAGATTTCTTGTTTACTGAACACCTGTTAAATGTTTAGCCTATCTGGCTGGATCTCTGTACATCCTTCTATATAACATCACTCACCAAACTGGAGAGGATACAAACACTCTTCTGCACAGTACGTCTGGTCACATCGTCCTTTTTAATTCTTAAGTCCTGTGGATGTGCAAAGACAGTTTGCTAACAGATATCAGATGCGTGTTTGTGCTGAAGGTAACCATGCATATGTGCCATTTTCTGTTTCCAATAAAATAAAGTTATATTATTTAATGTTTTCATTTTTCGTGTTTTGTCTCCACTGGAAAGTTCAAATTTGTGAAGTATACAGACATGAAATTCAAGTACATTATTTACTGTGAGAAAATAACTTCACTGTGATTGGCTGAGAGCAGGGCAATTTATTGTTAATTCTCAATTTGACTGCAGTGCAAATTAACATGCAGGCGTTTGTAATTTTCTCAGTCATAATAAATGAGTAATGAAAGTTTGAGCAATGAAGAATTTACACTGCTTATGATATTTGAAAAATTCTTTCAAATAATTTGCATTCACCTAAAGTATCGTGCAATTTTGAGAAAGTTTCAAATATCACTTGTAGTTTAATTTCTTATTAATAAATGCACTGACATTCATACATTTTTTTATAAAATAAAACAAAATAAAGAAACTACCATACCACACCTTACTGTCAATCTGCTTGTAACAAGAAATTCCAAAAATGGTAGATTGAAAGTTCTGTCTCCCAACATATGTGCTGAGACTTGGTAAATGAAATACAGAAGTGTCTACAAGATAAAAAAAAAAATGAATGGCTTATGCTTAACTGTCTATTACAAGGATAATACAACAGGTGTTCTCAGGAGCAACGTTAAACCTGTGCTATTTACTGCAAATGTAGCAAAGGCTTTTGGTGTATTTTTTTCTAGGAAAGATAAATCAAATCAATTAACTTTAAAGTACTGTCATATATACTGAATGTGGTCATAGGTGTGTTGAATTTCTACAGACTGAGAGAGTTTTCATTTTAATTGAACTCATGAACATAAAAGTTTGTTTGTATAAGAACTTAAAATCAGGCTATGTAAAAACCAATTGAAAGCAGTGGTTAATGAATGAAATGAATGAAATGAAATTATTGTTCAGTCATCTGTCGTCACACTGCTCCCCGCTTAACACCGTCACATGTCGAGCCGCAGTCTTACTTCTTACCTTGCTGACAATTATGGACGCCATCTGGTAATGCCAAAAATGGCAAGAACCGCCATTCACTTGGTGGTGTTGTACTAGGTGTGTTACCGTTCTTCAGAAATGGTGGAAATGAAAACTCTACCTGCATCAGCAAACAAAAAACAAAACACTCAACAAGAAATAGAAAGTTGGTAGTTCCAAAAATTATCAATACTCATATCACAGCTGTCATCTTGGAATTAAAATGGCAGTGCTGAGGGGGGGAGGGGGGGAGAACTTTGCAATAGACTTTCCAATTCACTTTTTTCCAAAGATGTCTGCAGCCCCTCTATTTTTCTCGGTCCCCACCCCTAACCCAGTCAAGTCTTCCGTTTTGCGCTGGCGTCCAGTTCTGTTGCGATTCTATCCGCGCGTTCAGCGATGGAATAAAAAATACGAAAAAAATAGAGGGCTGTGAACAGTCCACGGCAGGTATCCCAGATGCCAGTTGTATAAGATTTTCATGATCAGACTCTGTGCCCTTTGTTAGCTAGACATGAAACGATATTTAATGGAGCTCTGCCAGCTCATGTTCATAGCGAAAAGACAAAATCAATAACAACATTTCTAACTGATACAGCTCAAAAAAACATACCCTTAGCTTCGGAATTCAGGAAGGAACATACAACTTTCAAAGAAACTGATAACTTAATATCGCCCCTATCTAAGGGCTTTTTTATGCCTCTTTCACCTCAGATCCCCGCTGATGGTGGAATCCCACCACTACAATGTGCTGTATAACCCTCTCTGGATCTTCAGTCTCCATGTCTACTCGTTTCTCAGCTGGTTTTCATCGGTACAAGTTGTTTGAAAATAAACACTCTAATCAACCCGCCATCTTGAATGCCACTAGGGGCATGGGGCAAAGTTCCTCTACCTGGTACCCAGTTTTCTCTGATATTTTCATTGGTCAGCCAGGGACCCCTGGGTCAAGGAACAGTTGGTCGCGTGAACGTTTGCAATTACATGACTTTCAGAACTAGAAAGAGCATGTTTTAAAGAGTAATTTCAATTAGTAATAATTTGAGTGTTGCAAAAATTGGGTTGGCATATAACTATTGGAGATCGAGGATTTTGTGGCAGTTTTGAAACTTGAAAAAAATTTTCAAGGATTTGTATGAAAAACCATTGGAGTGTAATGAGGGAGGGGAACAGGGTTGCTCATCGTACCTTTTCAAGGTATTCATCCTCAACAGGTCCACGGTGGGAGCTTTTGTGGTACCTTTTAGGGTACTGAGCCGAAAAAATATGACAGGAGAGAAAGTGTTACGTTAGAATTGGTATCTCTTAGAGTAGAAAAAAATTTCAAGACAGGCCCACAAAACAGAATCTTGGTACTCCTTAGGGGCTCTTTTCAAAATCTCGGACAAGTGCCCCCGTCATTTTTATACAGGAGTCCCCCCGAAGATGTGACTCAGAGGCAAAGCATCTTCTTCCCTTACAAATCCTTCTAAATATTTGATAACTTGTAGAAAAAAAAATTGAAAATAAACCTTAAAATTTGCTTGTAAGCTTATTTTCAAACGTTCTTTTCATTTCTGATTACATTGTGTATTACCATTGTCTAAATCAATGTGTTCTTGAAAAGCAAGTCACGTGACCAACTGATGCTCTGTTGGGCTGTACTTGTTGTTGAATAAGGAAAGTTCTGTGGAAGACTTTCTATGGTTAGAGTTATGACAGAAATAACATCAGGGAACTAGTTCAAAGCATATGCTCAAATTTACATCCAAAGAAGAGTAAAATGACTTTTATTTTTTACTTTAACTCATTTTGTTACAGTAACACATTTAAGTATTATAGTTTCTAGAAGCTTACTTGTGTCATTACAAAACACTAGGTTCTCTTTCACCTTATGAAAATGAACAGTTAACTGAGTAATTGTTCCTGTATGAATTAGTTTCTTCACTTCTCATGTTTACTGGTTTACCCTGCATTTATTTTCCTGGATCTTCTTTGCCTACTTTAGAGATAGGACATCCAGTATCAGTAGCTGGACACTTCCTTTTTACTCCAGCTGGTAGCACAGCTTCAGCAGGCTCCACAAGTGGCTTCCCTTCACTCTCAACAGACTTGAAAGGACAGCCTTCTTTCTGAATCACTGGACACTCATCAGCTTTCTCATGGCCAACACTGTGAATAACCTTCATGGTCTTCACAAGAGCTTCTTTATGGTGGCCATCTTTGTCACTGCTCGGCATATGCGACAACTTACTGTAGATTTCTTCTATTGTTTTGGCATCCTTGAAAGCACATCCATCCTTAAACTCAGGGCATTTCTTGATTTCTTCCAGAAGGGCTTCATTATCCTTCTTGGCAAATGGGCATCCTTCTTTAAATGCAGGACACTTCTCCTTAAGCTCACTGACATCCGATGCTGTCAGACTCTCAAGAACAGCAGTGGGTGGCTCTATCAAAGGCTTTCCTTCCTTGCTGGCATCTTTAAAAGGACATCCTTCATTTGTCTTGAACACAGGACACTCTCCAACTTTCTCTTCCAAGCTTTTAGACTCAGAATGAACAGCCTTAAGCATGTTTAGTAACTGCTCGTGAGCTGCACCTGTATGGTGCTTTGATTCCGGCATCTTGGAAAGCTCATCAAGAACCCCCTTGACATTATGTGCACCTTTGAATGGGCAACCCTTTTGGAACTCAGGACACTTATTCAGTTCATCCATAAAAGGATCCTGAGTTAGCTTGGAATAAGGGCAGCCCTCCTTAAATGCAGGACAATGGTCCTTGACTGACTCTTTGTCATACTGCAGGTAAAAACAATAACAAAGTTAATTACTTCTGATTTAATTTATACAATCAAAGAATACATATGTTAACTTCTGCTGGTGGTTGGTGCTAAACCCTAATTCCTTGATTACCAGTTTACATAAAAGATAAATTAACACTAAATGCCAAAATATTGAAGCTAAACGGTCCACATCAAGCTATAAATCCACTCCCTCTAAAAAGTAGTACTAACTCGTTTTCAAACCGTATCACTTTTTGCAACACCAGTATCAACTTGAAGTATTGCGTGACGATACACATCATGTCACGGTGACATAAATGTGTCACTTTCTATGCTTGAATGAATGGGTCGCGTTCAAATTCCTCGATTTCCTCTATCTTCAGAGATACCGAGAAACTGCCAAACAACACTCATACAAGATGTTGTATGAATAACATTTTCAAATAAGCCTTTTCAATGCTTGCTACTCCACTTGTCTAACTGTCTCTAAGTATATGTTTAAAAATTGTTTGTGAAAGAAGAAATATTAACTTAAAACTCGTGATCAATATCGTCAATATCACTCAGAAGTGACTCGACAACTTTCCTTACATTCGTTTACAGCATTTATTTCGTTTTTAAACAAATAAAACTCATACATTATATGGAGGAGTGCAGCTGGGGTGTTTTACTCACAGAAAACTAAGCTTACATACGCTTCCAGAAGACAACATCAAACCGGCCATGTTTTACAATTCAATTTTGAAAGTAACAATGCCGATTGAATACAACGATCTTTTCAGTTTCTCGACTTCTGCATGACACAGCTCAAAAGAATGCTTGTACATGTTCAGCGAAATAGTATAATAGATTATTCAATGCTCTAGGGGATAAAAAACAGTAAAAAGTTGTTTACCTCAGTTCCCGCCATCTCTGCTCAACAACTAAACGACGCTCAATGTGATCAAAGATGCTCAAATAACACGTGACACATTTGCGTCACAGCTCTTTCCAACAGATAAAAGTCACGAAAAGTTAACAAGGGCATAAATAAACAATAGCCTCCATTTGGCGCGAAAATCCGCGAAAATATTTTAGGATAGGATATTTGTCCGCTGACATTATCTGTTCCGACAAGCGAACACTTTTCCGAGAGCGTCGCTCGAGGAAGACTGTGAGCTTTGAGGAACAGATAATGTCCAAGGACATTAAGGCTGGTTCGTCCTTGTGAGATAAACATAACACAAGTGAAATAAGCACAAGCATAAGCACAAGAAAAAGAAACATGTTCCTTTTTTCTTGTGCTTGCGTTAATGCTTATTTCACTTGTGTTATGCTTATCTCACAAGTGTGAACCAGGCTTTAGTGCTCGGTAGTTTCGAGCGGGCAAGATAGCTCCGGCAAGATGGAGCTATCTTGCCCGCTCGAGACGACCCGCTGTGTCCCGCAAGAGAAATTTCCCCGAAAGCCATATAATAAATCCTTTATTGACCAAGCTTGTTCGGTCAAGATGGCTTGATATTAGCCTCGTTCTTTTTTTGCGAGTTTATGGACCTCGACTCCGTCTCGGTCGGTAAACAAGCGAAAAAAGAACTTGGCCAAGAATATCCAGCCATCTTGACCTCACACTTAGTCAATAACCCATCTGTATTTTTAGGTTTTAATTTTTTCTGCCATTAGCTAAGCTCTGGAGGGTGGATTTTTGTTTTCCCAAACAGTGCGGATAGAAAAAATTAACAGGCTAGCTGGGAGAACAAGATCGCGCCACAGGAGAAAACAAAAATGACGGTGTCCCGACCCGGCGGCTGAAGTATCGTGTGCTTGCTTTAAACTTACTTTATTATCTTGCAGTAGAAAGAAAAAACGCCAAAGAGGTGAGAACAGAAAACTATCTACTAAAAAGCAAACCTCACTAAAATGGCGATTTTGATTTCTTGAATCCTGTCAAAAAATCAAATCCACTTTCATCCTCGTGATCTTGCACTTCTGTCTGTAAAGACTTGTTCCTGATTCTGTCCATTTTCCTTTATGGAATATATTTTTATTAGATAACATTTGTTAATACAATGTGGGAATCAGCTGGTTGTACAGACACTTCATCACTTAACCTTTAATATGAGCTCTTATGCAACCGTAGAGGTTTCGAATTTTCCGGAAATTTGCAAGAGTTTTCAAAACCTTGATTATTTAGTGTATCATTGTAACATTTTAAATAGGTCGTGAGAGTAGATTCTTCCATCACTCCCTCCCGTCTATTACAGATGGCTTTATACTGAGTAACGTGCAAGAGGTCAGGATGGCTGGATATTGGCCAAGTTTTACTTTACGCTGTTCAGTTTATGGATCGAGACTAGACGCAGTCGAGTTCCATAAACACGCCAAAAACAGAATTAGGTCAGCAACCAGCTATCTTGACCGAACAAGGCTGGTTAAGCAGCGGCTAAAGAAAGCGCAATCGGTCAGGTTGCCAATTAAAACACAGGATTTAGTTCATCTTGCCTCTCCCGCTCAGTGCAAAGCTAGCCATGTAATAAAAACATTTTTGAGAGAGTATGCACGAACTGGATTCCCCTCGTAACATTACGAAGAGCTTCCCCCGGATATGGCTAAACTTGGCTCCAGGGAAAGTAAAATGTTTGGGTAGGGCTATGGAAATAGAATATGCCTAATATGCACAGACATATGGGTACCAGAGTAATTTAATTCTGTAATCTTTCATTTGAAACAGGGCTAACTTGTGCTGGGAAGTATGTATCAAAATGAAATCAAAACTAGACGTGTAGTTTTTGAACATGGCGACACTGTTAACTATTTACTGGATAAACAAAAATCAACCATAAACGCTTCGTCGTGATCCGTTTGGAATTTGTAGATGCGTAGATAAATACCCGGCATACATCTTGGTAGAAAATCTACACGATTCTACAAGGTAAGGCTACAGAGAAGTTAAAATTGCATTCGTTATAATTATTTTAGCCATACATAGGAGAGATTTACTTCAGATTACGGCATTAGCACTGGAGGCTCATCAAATGCATGGGACCAGTGCCTGTAGAAAAAAAGCTAATTATTAATGCGTGTGTGCCAAATTAATCGCGAAGTTTATCCATACATAAGACTGTTTACATATCTCTTCAAAATACTTGCGTAAATATTTATTCAGTCGTTTTAATTTTCATTATTAATGCATCTGGATGTTCTTAGTTGTCCGTTCTGATCTGAGTTCTACTTATAAACTAAACTTAGGCGATCTGAAAGGAAACTTGCTTCTAACCCACACAACCGTGAGATATAAGCAGTCGCCAGTCGTTGAATTGTCGGACAGCAGCGAAAGACGTGACAGCAAAAAGGCAGTTCATCCATCCAAAAGGTAAGTTATAGGTTCACGGCAAGAAATACTAAATGCTGGAAGTACGTACGAAAACAAAATCATTAATTTGCCACCAGGGGGTCAGTCCTTACCAGCTAAAGCTGTGGTTTCACCGCACGTTTACCTCTTCTTTTAAATTCAGTGCTGCTCAGTTCTAGTCATCGTTATATTCACCCTTTAGACCCCCCGGTAATCTGTATTAGGACTCTTCATCGAGCATTAATAAAATATGTTAGGTATAGTGTGAAAACAAAATAGATGCTGCTGTTTTCTTTGCTGGCCACATGTTGCTCATTCAGTGCTTTAACTCGTACCGTGGTGATCTCTCACTTTATCATTATCTCCTGGCTTCATCACGCAGAAAGAATAGAATCATGTTATGCCGATATGGAAATTGCTAGTCAACCAGTTTATTTATAGCCAATGTAAGATCCACAACTGGATTTTGTTTCTTTAAATCATATCTTAGTCGGGTGGCACTAGTCCGGTGGGGGGGCATTGCCATATATGGGCTATATAGGTATGTGCCGCTGTGAAGGGTATGGTTTTCAAGCAGTTTACTCTAGGATAGGGTATATAAATAAGAGCGTTTGGGTCTAGAATAGGGTATCATTTTTCACAAAACTGACTAGTTGGTTGAAGATTTTATCTAGACNGGACAGATCATGCCCCTTTTTTCGCTGTGTTCCCCAGTAATCTAATGGCTGGAACTGGCTAACTGAACAGCTAATAGTGGAAAATGTCTCCTGGAAACACTCTTCAGATAATACCCCCGCCTGATTGGATTTTAAGTTCATGATAAATTGAGAGAAACTCTGACCTCAGTCTGGCCACACCCCTAAGAACGAGCAACGAATCATTTGAAATGGTTTCGACGTTGAAGGAAACTTAGTAGGCGGCAGCGGTACAGAAACACGCCTGCACTGATAACAACATGGCAGATATCACGTTCAGGACTAACATATGAATTGTTCCCGCTCGGTCGGTCCAATTGGCCGAGGTAATTACCGAAACAGCAATAACCGCACGCGTCTAATCGATTACACGTTATTCACGACCGTTGTATGCCGTCCTTAGGTTAGAGATAACCTTTTTATTTGTAGAAATATTCATTCCACATTCTTTGTCATTTGTGGCTACGTAATGTGCGCTCCTACATGTACGTTGACTGCTTTGATATTTGGTAGGAACAAACTCGATTATAGGCGCCACGAGGAGGATGAATTAATTGTTCGTCTAGAGTAAAAACGTTATCGTGCTTTTTATTATTTTTCCTTAGTTTATTTTGTGAAGAAATAATAGATCATTATCATCATTCGCTATCGAATTTAATGCTTCCGAGGTTTTATCTCTTTTGCTAAATAACTTGAACACGCCCTGCTTTTGTATTGGAGAGATAAGATTAAAAGATAAAAATCTGCTTTGAATACCAATTTTGAAATCGAGTAAATTTGATTATAAACTTGTAAAATAGACCATGTCTTCACGCACATTGCAGACAGACCAATTTCAACAGCGCTACCTTAAAAAGTCCTAACAAGGTTAACATCCCTTGACATATGAACAGTCTGTGAAAGGGAAAACTAATTTATGCTCGGCTATTCGCTAGATTTTGACTAAGACGAGAATGAAAGCAACAACTACAAAAACAAGATTAAATGGTTAATTCAACTGGTAAAAAAATCAGGGAAAGTCATTAAGAGCATCCCTGTTAATCCAACCAAACCGAACGAAAAATCAGTTGCACTTAATCGAATCCCAACTGCTCCAGCAGTGTGCGACTGGTTCGGCAATTAAACATAATCATTGCTAAGTTGAACTTTTTAGGCCAGTTGGAACTCGATCGGTGTGATCGCACACTGACCGAGGAAATCGCAGCTAATCGTGCACACTCGGTGTACAGCATATCGAACGTTCGATTGGCCGAACCCGATTGAAGTTCGATTACCGAATGTTTGACAGAATGCAGCAGAGCATACAATTTTAACGAGGAATTTTTTTTTTTGGCTCACAAGAACCTGAAAGCCTTAGCTCTTAAGCATAATAACCTCTTGTCAGATCAGTCAACAGTCGGAATTTTTGCTAGATTTCGTTTTCCTCAGTTCTTGATGGGGTTGAATGGGCCAGGAACATTGTTTTATTCTTTCAGACAAGCATAACGGATGTCCACAAAAAAGCAGAAAAGAAGACTTCTTCTGTTATCTGCTTGACAGCTGCTTGATAAACGAACGGAAAAAAGTGATGTGATTTTCAACACGAGCTCAATACTACAGTCATCCATCATGTGATTGTATCAGGTTACTGTTATCAAGAGTCAGCCGTTCCGGTAGAGGTCAATGAGAAAGGTACAAACCAGCGGAAACTGCTCTGAAACCCGGCCTTTGATTTTTTAAGGCTGAAAGTTTGTTGACTTACAAATGTTTTCATAATTGGGGAAAATAAATACACTTTGAAAGTGTAGATTGTGTGGTTTTGTCTTCAGATTGGTGATTAACGTTTGGTTTCTTTTCGTGCTCGTTCTTCTGGATATCTTCCAAGCCGTTTTCACTCTCAATGCGACCGGAAATCCCCAGTTCATTACAACAGATATCGGGCCATCGACATTAATCAAAAACTTGTGCTCTAATCATTTTGTCATCACTGGGAGTTGTTACTGATCTCATCTCAAATTTACAGGCCTCAGGAGCTCGAAACCACAGATCGCAGCGGCACTTTCAAGAAGGAACTGATCAGCAACTGGCCATCAGATAAACAAGATTAAATCAGCTTGAGCTCACGCTTTCTGGACTGACGCGCTCCGAAATTCAAAGCAATTTTTTGCTATTCGTGCAAGAGGAAATGAGTACACCATTCACCTCATATACTAGAATGCACATCTCAAAAACTTGTCTTCTTTTTATCCCGGCATTACTCTGTTCTGTGGATGGTTTTCGAGGCGGTTCAAGATCCTATTCAAGAAGCCCTATCTCCCTCTACAGTTACAATCACCGAAATGTACAAAGGTTAGTTGTAGATTCACCTATTATTTTAAATAGTTTTTAATAAAGCATGCACGCGTAACAACCTTATGGCTTTTAGTTTCTTGAAAACACCATGTGCGTGCTTTAACAGTTCAAGGGAGTTCTATATTATTGAAGAAAGCTGACAGCTGTAGATAGATTTCACATTGCGTTAGGTCACACGAGCAAGTTGCTCGGTATTTATGTCTTAAATTCAGTGAGAAACACGAGAAATCCTGTTTAAAATAGCAAAACAGCCTTTCCCTAAATTAACAAGTACACCTGTAAAATCAAACATACCTTATAGTTACCTATCATTTTCATAGTGACTTATTGTACAATGAGATAATTACTTACAAAATTGTTCTTTATGTGCGAGAATTCGCGCCACGAGAACATAAGAATTAATTTTTATAAATGACCTTGTGTCAGAGAGGAAACATCAGTTTATTGAGACAGTCAGGCATCATGTTGTGTCGTATTTTCACGTTCCTCGGTTCTGACACACAGCCGTAACTTTGCTTCATTAACTAAAAAACAATAAACGGTCTTTTGTTAATCGACTTGGTGACCCTTGTTATGTCACAAAATTTCACGTTTCTGCTCTCCGATGGAAACTGTCGATAGGTGTGCAGGATCAGTTTAGTCAGTTGCGCACCCTCAATCTGTTTCGCGGTTTTAAGCTCTGTAGACCAATACATTTCTCAGACGTTAAACATACTTCAGATATTTCCTACTGACCTCTGATGTATTTTAATTTTCTTGACTAAAATACAGCAGTAAGGTCACGGAAATGCTTCAGCAAGGTTAATAAGTGAACTGAATTTATACAGGAGCCCTGATTTATATTAACTAGTTTCGTTTCGCTTCCCACTTTCGAGATAGCGCGAGGAATGGGATGACTTGTGATAATTAATTGATCTCAACTTATCTCCAGACAGTCACAAGAGATAAATATCGCACGGCTTTTTTTACGTTATTCGTTAGAAGAAGGATAAATATTGTTATTGTTTATAGCGTTATTGCTAAGACCACCCTGAATTGAAAGTAGAGAGCGGAGATAAAGTGAAAGATAAGTAAAGAAAGTACAAAATCATTCGACCAACGGATTATTTTTAGCGACGGAGAAAGGCCCCTATCACATTCTTCCAGTCTTTGCTGGTCAGGGACAAAGGAGCGAAGACTGAGGACGAAAAGACTCGATTAACTGCTACTTCAGTCCATGTTCAAGCCGATCAGCGCACATGAATTGGATGGGTGGGGTGGGGACTGATCACTCCTTCTTTCTCTTTGCAGTCAATCTGGTCGCCAAACAAAGAGATTAGTACTCGATCCTTCCAGCAAGCTACCGCTCTACAAACATACTGCAGGTGCAAAGGCACCGAGCCCTGCAAGGCAAAGTCAAGGGTCTGGAAGCCAGGCTAAATCCCAGGATAGTTCGGTGGCATCTGGTGGCCAATACTGTATTTACCAGAAACCTAAACAAGTCACTTGCAATGTAGCGCACATGAAGCGGGTAACCAACAAATACAAATACTACTGTGGGGCGCGATCTCAAGGCAAAGTATGTACGGGTTACAGGTGAGCGCAGCTAAGTATCTCCCCACCTCAAAGATAAGGAAGTCCTTTGAAAATTTCTTTATTCACTCATTTTAATGCCAGTTATCTAAAATCAACTGTCACGTAATACCTTAGTCTATTGATGCTCAGATGTTTTTTGTCTGTACATTCCTTAAGGAAATAAGTGATTTAACTCCTCATCATCATCCGGCATCATCTTTTTTCACGCCCACATAAGGCCTCAACTTTAAAATACCGTGAAAACTAACATACACCTGACTAACAATTGACGAGCTTACGGCTTTCACTGACAGTTTCTTCTTTAATGTTTTGTTTGTCTCCAGAGTAACTTATCGTCCAGAGTATAAAATAGAAATGAGAACAGTCATGACTTCGGTTAAAGACTGCTGTCCTGGATTTACAGGTTCAGATTGTAGCCAAGGTGAGAAGCCCACGCTGTTAATAGCGCGCGCGAGACCATTACTGACATCTCGGTGTTAGAGCCTTCGATCCTAATGTTCAGCCGCAGAGAGCGATAGATACGTCATGAATAAAAGCTGTCGCTGACCAGTAGAGACAATGGCTCCAATAAAGAGACTGACGCTTGAAGTGACCAGTTCTAAATAATTTGACTATCTTATGAATTAATTGAATAACTAAGTTTTAAATCACTATTTCGGGGCTGCTTCGAGGTCATGTAATCGCTAAGATTATCAAATCAATTATATTTTTCGCACAGAGATACTGCTTTTGGTTTTTGGACAATAAATATGCTTATTATATAACTTGAGAAAATTATTTCATTGTGATTGGCTGAGAGCAGCGCTAATTGTTTATTTTAATTGGCTAATTGCTAAACGAGCGCGCCTTAATTTGCACTCTAGTGCAAATTAAGGCGCTCTCGTTTGCAAAAAAATTTCTCAGTCATATAACAAATGAGTAACAAATGAATAATCGTATGAAAGCTCGAGCAATTAAGGATTTAGACTACTCGTGATATTGGAAAATTCTTTCAAATTGCACTCGCCTAAAGGCTCGTGCAATTTTGAGAGAATTTCCAAATGCCACTCATAGTGTAAATGCTTAATAGCACAAACGCAGCATTCAGTTAAATTTCCATCATCTCCATGTAAATAAGTTAAGCAGTGTGATAACCAAGTGTTAATTTTAATTCGGTTTTTACACATTCGAACTNGTTTTAATGGCCACTTCGACTACAATGCAGCTGAAATCTAAAGGCTTTAGATTTCAGCTGCATTGTAATCGAAGTGGCCATTAAAACGCTTATAATTATAAAGGGTGGCCGCAGAGGGAATTTTACATGGAGTATTTTGCGAATGTGGGAAAACACTTTACTATCCGGAATAACCATATTTTATCCGTAGGATCATCTCTGGGGCCCCATGGAAAGAATGTTTGTTTTTTATTCCATAGGATCATCTCGGGGGCCCCGTGGCCCAAAGGGGGAGAAAGGGAATCCAGGCTCTCCCGGCCCAACGATGGTGGTGACGGGTGACCCTGGTCTTCCAGGAACACCCGGATTCCAGGGACGCCCCGGTCCCTCCGGTCCCCCAGGGCAAAAAGGAGAACCAGGGAGATCAATACAGGGACCACAGGGATCCAAAGGAGCACCTGGACCCCCCGGTGAACCTGGACGCCCAGGTATTGGCGCCTCGGTAAGTAAATATAGTCGTCATGATATAAGCACGCAATGTATGCAGACAACAGTAATGAGTATTTTCTCTTGGTTTTGCTCCCAGCCAGAGGATCTAGAACGATTAAGGAATCAGGTGAAACAGTTATCCGCTATAGTCGCTGAACTGGATGAAAAAAGTGAGTAACACCGTGTTTTTTAAATAAATTTCGTTATTACGCAGTGCTACAAATACTGGCAGTGGTCTGCTAGTTAGACATGTCTGGTGTAACACCCTTGTGCGCATTTCTTGTTAGGAACATTATGGTTTACTCATTGCATCATCACACACACACCTTGCTTTACAGTTGATCCCAGTCTGGGATTTTGTTATCTACAGCCCAACGTTTCGCTTGAGAACCCTTTGTTCTTGTTTATCTCTGAAGAGGGCGCTTAAAAGCACAAGAAAAAAATCTTCAAAATTAACAGACAAGAATTGAAAAAGCAAAAGTAAACATTTAGTATGGCTTTTTTTCTTTCTTTTTTTTTTTTTTGCAGTTTCGAGATGTGAGTGTACAGCAGGGACGGGTCGCCTGGCCGTGAACATGAAGGATGACGTTACTATGTCGCCAATAACAGTCACCACAGAAGGCCTGTTTGCTCCTCCTGCTCGTTAATCTTAACATGGCTACATTCAACGCCATACCATGCAAAGTTCTGAGAGCACATCTCAAGAAGTTACATGCAGCTTACGTGATGCTTTATTATAATTAATAATAAACTTTATCAACGCGTCAATGCATTTAGCACAGAGCTATTAAATAGACCATTTTACAGTTGTCTGCTCAGTGACCTGGCCTTTGGATGGCAGCGAGACTGGAGTTGACCTTGTTTTGATACAGACCTCTCTGCTTTTGTCATGTAAATGCACCTAGTTAGCATCAGAACAATTTGTTTTACACAACAAAAGCACTGAGGTCTGTATCAAAACAAGGTCAACTCCAGCCTCGCTGCCATCCGAAGGCCAGGTCACTGAGCAGACAACTGTAAAATGGTCTATTGACTGACACAAAATGTAGCTCCTCTCGGGGCTTCTCGACATCCAACCCCGTTCCCAGGGTCTCTCATCTTACCGCCCCCTGGAGCGAGCGAGGAGAGGACGGCAAGATGAGAGACCCTGGGAACGAGGTTGCTCGACATCCGACATTCTAAGTGTAAAAAAGTTACCATAAACATTACAAAATCCAACTGAATAACAAAAGTTTAATAATCTAAATGAAACATATACCAAAGCCGGACTTCGGTGTCGATAAATTTTTTAAAAGGAGTACCCTTTATGTTTTTGCTTAAAATGCTTGTAAATTAATTTAGTTGCTTTCCATACTCGACAAGGTACTTCTAGAGGCTCCGAGAAAACAAACGATGTTTTAACGTGTGGACAAAAAAGGACTTTCAAACCTTCTTTCTGAGCACTGATATATTAGTTTATAACAAACCAAAGGAAAATCTACATATATTTCTATCACTACTCATCTCGGGTGTGACCACTGAAATTTTTAAATTGTAGTTAAACGAAAATCATTCCATTTCAACATTTCCAAGTACTTCTCTTTTTAAAGAAATAAGCCAGCAATCTCTAGTTACCAAAATGTCAATTATCAACTATGTTTTAATGTGGTCTACATAAAATATTGTATAAACTTTGGTCTAAAGTGGAGTTTACGTATAAATACCAAAATTAGTTTATATCAATGGACAAACACTTCTCAACTGCTTTTTAAATAAAATTTTCACCTCACTCTACTGAGTATTGCTTCTTTATTACTTCGGTTGAATTAACGATACGAATAAAGACTGGACTAACCATTTAAAGATCAAGGTTAGTTTCCATCTCGAGTGTTTTTATCGATCGTACGAGTTATGTTGGTATTAGCACAACAACGGAGAGGACTCGGGTGAGTCTTTTATCTTGGCCCCACTCCCCTGACCTGGAACAAACTCGTATCTAACTTAATGTTCCTCGGCAAAGTATTTAAACGCAATCGTTTGTTAAAAAACGCCTTAAGCCATTTTTTAACAAGTTTAAAAGTTATTCGACAAGATCACTGGGCACTTGTCACGGCGTACCATTACTCCGGCTTGAAACAATCGTTAAAGTGGTGTCTTGTTTAAAAAAAAAAAAAGAAAAAAAACTTCTGCGATCGGTGGCGATCGCAGCTAAGATAAACCTTATCTCGACGATCGAACTGATAGTGATCATATGAAAACGGGTAGTCGTAAGGATCACTCAAGCTTTTCTGTAGTGATCGCAGTGACCATATGGAAACCAGTCTTTAGACTACTGCCGTGGTTCCATAAGAAGTCTCTACAGTGATATGACTGGCAAAGTTATAAATAGACATAAGTACTTAGCTAATGTTCATTTCCCCGTTTGGGTTACGCTTCTTGAGTGTTTCCTGACGAATTGTAATACAAAATTGGAATCCCACATGACTCACAGGAGGCAGCTAGTTTTCATTTTATACAAATATTGTTTCTTCTTTTCTCTTTTTTGTCAGTACAGTGCCAGGTTTGTGCTGTGCTTCAGGATGTTTTTCCAGCTCCTGTGGACAATTACTAACCTGCAAAAACCCAAACAAATCCAGTTATGGAAAATTTCTTTTGAAAATTGAGCCGGTAAAGCAAACTCAATAAGGGAGGGGAGAGAGGGAGGGAGACAAAAAAGCTCAAAAAGCCCCTGTACTCTCCTCTGCGTTTTTCCCTTTCCCTTCCCTCGTCCTTATTACTTATTGCATTTTACTAACCGGGCTGGCTAATAACGTCTGCTTGAGGTCATAAAACACGGCCGAGTCTTCCTGGGTCAAAAACGTGACAGCGACACCAGTCTTTCCCGCGCGGCCGGTTCTGCCGATACGATGAGTGTAGCCTGGAACAGAAGCACCAACCAAAGAGGTCAACGATTAGTAAGAGAGAAAAATCCTTCTGTCATGTTGTTAAAACATTAAAATATCTTAAGCGAATATATGGCGAGATGGAGCGCGCATTTAAGGATAGCCTTGCAGCTTACTACATCAACAAGTGAATCAGCAACACCACAAACCTTCAATTGACTTGGCCATGTCATAGTTGATAACAAGCGACACATCCCTGGCGAGACAATAAAACAGATCAGCAAAACACAACAACAAACTAGGACAGAAAAAAACAAGCTGATTATCACGTACTTGATATCAATACCACGGCCCGCCACGTCAGTCGCTACCAGAATATCTTTAGCACCAGACTTGAGACTCGACAAAGCAAACTCTCTGTTAAATTGAGAAGAAATAAAAATAAATCAACAGATTATACTTTGTTTAGCCAAATTCTCACGATTCACTTAAAAAGGTACTGGGTAATCAGTAAGAAATTGACCATTTGTATCACTGGACTATTCACCTCTGCTCCTGGTTTCGTCCACCATGCAAGGTCGTTGCGCGGAACTAAGGAAAACATTATACAAAACGTAAGTGTTACAATAATATGCAAACAGAGAACGATGAGAATAGGAAAAAACTTACGCCCATTTTCTCCAAGGATTTTGCCAGCACGTCTGCTCCCTAAAATAATAGATTAAATGGTAGTTAGTTATTGTAAATGAAGGAATTCTTCATTTTTTTAAGCCGCAATTAGATCATGAACACAACCACTACAGCTGATACAGAGCGAGAACAGATCAGATTGCTACAATACTTAAATTTACTGCTTCTGTAGTTCCTACACTTGACGCCAAGTTGAACTTTTGTTGAACAGATCAGATTGCTACAACACTGAAATTTACTGCTTCTAGCTCCTGCACTTGACGCCAAGTTGAGCTTTAGTCTCATCATTGTAAGCAAACACGCTTTATGAGACGCGTGCAGACTGATGTTCACACAGGTCTGACGTGAATACATCACATGTTCGCATCGTCCTGGATGACATCATAATTTGTACAGCATGTAAGTTCAGCGGTGGAATTTCTCTGTTATCTTGTTCATCTCACCTTCTTTTGGTTGACAAATATCATGATAGGCGGATCAATGCCACCGTTCAGTATCTCTAACAGCTTCTTCCTGTTAAAACCACAAAACATAATCGTTCGAAAACATTCACCGAAGCTTCTTACTGCAGGGTGCTTAGAGAGAAGGCTCTGTGAATTTGTGTCATAGTTATATCCTTTTACTTTTAATTACTACGTATAAGACAGACAGACATGGCCGTTTGCGATCAGCATAAAGTTTAGTTTAAGGTGTGAAACGTTAAGGCAAGAGAAACGAAAATTATTCTCCTCTTTAATCAGCACGTATCTATTGAAACTAAACCCTGCCAACAGTGTTTACCTCTTAGCTCCTTCTTTAAGCAAGTGAACTCTCTGTTCTACTCTCTCAACTGGTCGACCTGTAACAGAAATGAAAATGCTCATTAGAAAGGAGAAATACTTCACCAAGGCAAACTTCAAAATGATATTTACCTATTGAACCGATATACACGACAGCGGGCCGCCTGAAAGGAAAATACAGAATGTTATTTGAACAACCCACAGCAATATGTTGAGCAATGACAACGGAATCTATTTGTGACGGTTAATGATAAACTAACCTGCTTGCTGCTGAGATAATTCTGTGGATTGCTCTTTTTCTACTAATAAACTGGACATGCGTCTATAAAGCACTTACCTAAGATAGTTTCTAGCCAAGCGTTCAACTTGCGGAGGCATAGTAGCTGTAAACATCACGGTCTAGAAAAGCCAACAAAAACTAACTTAGCTCCCAAACAAACTAATCAGCGCTAGATTCCACTGCCGGTACTACAGTACTGGCTCTTCAACAGTCTCTACAAGTTTTCAGTGAAAGATGAAAGTCCTGTTTCCTGTCAAACTTGATGAGCCCACAATTCTTGTTTTTCTACAAAGAGAAGTCGCTTCCGCGTCGTACACTCCAAGTATTCGATTGCACAGTACAAGTCTGAAATTCAGTATATTTCCTTTTCTATTAAAAAAACGTTACTTCCACTTTTCCACCACTTAACTAAAGCAGTTCTCACTTCAGCTGAACTGTTTTCTTTACAAACCTGTCTAAACCGGTCTTTTCCCATGTATGCCAATAACTTCTCCGGATCTTCAGCGTCCTCAGAATCAGGTTTAACGTTGCTAACTGGTAAATGTTCCAAGATTTTCTGGACCTCAGGCTCAAAACCCATGTCAATCATACGATCAGCCTGCAATGATTACATCTCCGTCAGCTGAGTTGGCCTTGCCTATATTGTAACTTGGTCTCAGTGTTTTAGGTTATTCTGTTTATTTTTGTTAATTATGAGCTCTAAAATTTTAAATTTGCCGAAGAACAGGTTTGATTTCAAGTATTATGGCTGACATTTTCATTTCCAGCCCAATGGTTGGTGATTTGGTTTACACATCTTTCAGTTGTCACTACCTGGTAAGAGTAGCACGTCTGTTATTCAATTACTGAGTTTCCTTACTATGTTATTGTTTGAACGAATACTATGCATAAAAGTTATCAGGACTGCTTCCGAAGAATGAGTGAATTTTAAGTAACGCTGTGCTTCGAGACTGGTGGACCCTAAGCTAGACCCTAAAACACACAATCAGTCACCGCCACTGTTGTATTCTGAATAATACTGCTGTATATGATCACCACCAACCTCATCCAGGACAAAATATGAACAGCGACTCAAAACAAGGTAGCGATTTTCTGATGAAGGAAGAAATAAAATTAGGAACCAAAAGCACGCGGGAGAAACACACGAAGAAACAAAGACAACAAATGATACGTATAAGTAANCCCAGTAAAAATGGTTTTAGCTTGAAAAATAACAGGAATCTATTAGCAAATGAGATAGGTAACAATGGCAAGGATGGGATTATGCTATAACTAATTGTATAAATGAGAAGCTCATGTTTTAAGGTTTGAAATGTATTCTTTTGAAACTTTACAGGAAAGCTGTCCTCTGTTACTTGGCTGATTACAAGGACTAAACACATCTGTAAGTCATAAGAAACTATGATAATATGAGCATTATGTGGAACAAATATGTCCAGTCTTAATCTGCCACCAGTGATCTGATTTGATTTGCACTTAGTGAGTTACGAACATAAAGATTATAGAACAGTTATGTCAGTTGGAAGAATTGACCGGTACATCAGCATATTATCCCCATCCACTTTGTAATATGTAATGAGAAATAAGTTATTGAATGCAGCCAGAGTCCATCCACTCGGTTACGGGCTTACTTACTTACCCCACCAATCACAGAAACTGTCCGAACGCCAAGAGGACGACCAAACTTTGTTGCATCATCTTCAATCTGGAAAGATCAAAAACAAAAATCTCACATTAAATTTTGACACAAAAGATACAAAACAACACAACATAGTGACAAAAGAAATAAATCATAGTTTCATGATTTCTGTAAATAATATTAGCAGTGGCTTTGGGAGAGGAGCATGGGCTCTTTTTAAGCTGGTAATCAAGCCTATAAGATAATTGACCCACGGAATACAGAATTAATAATAATTGACCAACAGAATACAGAAGCAACTTGTTTTGAAGAAAAGAAAACAAATACCTTGATTTCAATGGATATTATCTGGTAAATAAAGTTCTAATAGTAGCTGAGGTGCACTGGTCTATCACACAACTAATGTCATACAGCTTACTCTACTTTTGAGAAACAATGCATATATTTTTCCATTAGAATAGCATTAACGACAACAACAATCACCAAACTTCATTCTCACTTTTTACTACTTACTTCATTTGGAATGAAATTCGAGTACTGGCTGAACAGAATAACCATCAAACCAAAAACAAAACTGAACTTATTTCACTATGCAGAAAAAGAGCAGAAGTTATCCAACATTCTCGCACACAGACAAGTCATTTGTTTACCTGCTGTGCCAACTCTCGGGTTGGAGCTAAAATCAAAGCATATGGTCCCTTGTCAGCATCAGTGTCTCGTTCTATCTTAGGCAGTCCCATGATCCACACCAACAAAGGAATTAAAAATGCTGCTGTTTTTCCACTACCTTTACAAAATAAAAATATACAATAATATAATTTATCAATACATATTAGTGATGCAAACTTGGTGTCCTATTAATAGTGTTCACTATTGATCATCCACCATTTATGAAGGGAACTTATAGTTAATCTAAGATAACTAGCTAATCAAGGTTTTATTTGTGCAATTTAAAGGCATTTTAATTTCAATATTCATGGATTAAACTTAACATAAGTGACTGTTGCCTTTGTGGCACAAAGCACAAAAAAATCAAGATTAAATAATGAAAAATTAGATGTCCAACTCAAAATGACTCTGCATCAGCCAGGCTTCCATTATCACAAATCTGCAAAAACATATTGTAACTATCATTGCAACTTGCAACAGAATAAGCTGAAGATAAAGCTATATTGTGCGCAGAACTTCAGACCTGTCTCTGCTACTCCTATGATGTCCCTGTTCTGAAGCCCGATTGGAATGGCTTGACGCTGGATTGGTGTTGGTTCCTAAAAAGACATGACAGGTCTAAATTACATTGCTCACATGCAAGAACTCAGGGCACTTTAGAACTTACAGTCTGCCATATGTTGCCTTGCAATACTATGGGATGGGTTGGGAAACTTGTATGGAGCCCAGGGCCCCATGGTCCCTAAACTTAACACCATACATAACTTTGAACAGCACTGCTAGGTTGCCTGTGGTTACCTCGTATCCCAGTTTGTCAACTATATCAAGTATCTCCTTGGGAAGAGGACTCTCCTTCCATGATCTCAGTGGGTATGGAATCTTACCACCTAAAACAAAAACAAAACTCTAAATAGTAAAATTATCACCAACTGGCTATCAATCGACTGGTTTACAACACCAGGTTTATAACACTAAACGTTTTCAATCAAGATGTAGAAGTGCTCACCCTTCGTGGAAATGGTGAAATCCTCTCGCAAAATACGCCAATCTCTTTCAGCCATCTCTTCTAGAGATTTCTTGCTCCAGTGACGGTCATCATGAGCACGCTGTCTTTCCAGATCACGTTGTTTCTTTACTCGTGACCTAAAATTGAACAAATTATGCTTTGGGTGTTTTTCAAATTTATTTCGCAGCTAGCTGTTGTGGGAAAAGCATGCAGGAGAGAAGAAAGGCAAAAACATGGAGTAAATTAAATTTTTGATTTCAAGTTAAAATTTTGAATTAGAACTTTGAGTTTGAGTCATAAGTTTAACATTTTCAAAGTTCTGTAGCTTCAGCCTGTAAACAGAAAAATCTGTCAAGATCCCCTGAGAACACTGTACATACAAAAGAATGAGTAGCTCATAGCAATTCACTTACGCCTCTTGGGTCTTTTCTTCAACAGTTCGTCTTTTCTCCAACATTTCCTGGTAAAATTTTCCTGTTTCTTTCTTCTGCCACTGTTTGAATAAATAATTCTCCATAAATTTTATTATAAAATTATTCTGTAGAGCATCAGTTTACCTATTATCACATGTACACAGAGTGTCGACTACACTCCAC